GATGAGTATGTTGACCGAAAACGAGGCTCAACGTTTTCAGATCAAGACTTGATTCGATGGAGTCACTGTTATCGTGAAACCTAATGCCGTGAATTCGATAAGAAGGGATCGGCGAGGCTGAGGCACACTCAAATACAGATCGAGTGGACGAAAAGAGTTATTGATGAGTGGATGATAAACGATGTGGCAGACGGTGAGGGTTTTCTGGCCAACGAGACGGACGAGGCGGGAAGAGAACAGGCGGAGATAGTGGTTTCGGCGGGAAACCCGTCGTTGAAGAGGAGGGTCAGCTGGGAGAAAAGTCTTTTATGGATGCATATGTAGCGTTTGGGATTGCCTTTTGAGTGCCAGGTTTTGGAGTTGATGAAGAATGTGAATGACACGATGCAAAGGTGATGTGGCACAAGGGCGCAAAGAGGCAGAAAGACGCAAGCAGAGGAAGAAAGAGATGGTAAGAAGGAAAACAGGAAGGGATCCGTATTATATGTAGGTACCTAGGTAGGTAAGGTAGTGTCATCTTATAAGTCTGCTAAGATCCGATCCAACCTAAATGTGATGCCACACACACCAACTTACATCCATCCATATACATACACCTACACACCTCCTGTCCTGTCCCGTCTCTGTGCTGTGGGGGACTAGAACCAGGCAGATACAGGGGGGCCCGAGCATCCCTCCCCGTACATTACAGGCACAGCATGGGCAAGGATCGTGCAATGTGCCGTAATGCGCTGCGCAAGCCATTGAGAGAGAATGTCTGAGAATGCTACGATCCATGATGCGGACGATGCTCCATAGTTGCCTGTTCCTCCTGTCGGATCCAGGCGATCCCTCCCGTTGATGGAAATTGGGGCGCGACGAGGGGCTGCGGTCTGCGCGAACACCGCGTAAAGTGGTTGCTGACCCCCCGCTATGCCCACTAAATTTGAGTCTAAGACCGCCGGCCCCAGCGCACCTTGGCCCCTGTCTCCAGGGCAGGGTGTGCTGCAGCCACTACAGTTCAGCGGTGCCGCAGGTTCCCATGAGAGAATTGCTTCCAGATGAGATCTCAAAAGGAGAAGCAAGGTGGCGATTGATCAATTGAGACAACGATATGCTCACTCTTAACTTGAGTTCATTTGAGACTGGAATGTTTAGGTTTAAGTGGTTTTGCTCAAAACCGGTCTAGCTGATCTTCCCCTCTTTCTTCACTCTTTTAATTCTCGTAAGTTCAAGGTTAGTAGTCAGCCAACGGCAATTGACAAAAGACAAGTTTTCTAAATAGACAAGCTAAAGCATACCCGAGCAGGGATTGCAAGCCTAGGAATGGGTGAAACCACAAAGTGTGACTCATTGCGCGGGTCACCGACGAATGGTTAAGAGCACGTTGGGCATACAACATGCAACAACGCAGGGGGAAACCGACAGAGGACCGGGTTGGGCGACTTGGCGATCCATGGCGATAGATATCCTGTTGAGATGGCCTCGCGGTAGACAGGCAAGAACCTATTCAATTGGTTAGAGCGATGAATTGAGCTTGAGCTCAAGCTTATGGTGGTGTGCAGCAAGCTCAAACTGGATGCATGTTTAATCAGACTGACTACCTTACTTGTGATGAGACAAGAGACATCGTAGAGAGCAAGGATCGGGGTCTCGAGGCTCAAGAATGAAAGAAATTGCAGCATGCAGCCGATCCGCCGAGGTTTGCTTTGCCTGTTTGCCTCTTGACGCTCAGCTGAGGGGTGTAGCCTAGAAAAAAGTTGATGGTCGCAATCCGTCACGACGACGATGAAAAGCAGCAATTCAACAACCGCGAGAGCTTTGAAAGTCTAGAAAATTCTCAAGTATATAAAATGTAGCTAAAACATTTATTTTTAAAAGTTATGAGGGCTTTCATGGTCATGTATAGCCTTCAAATCAATATCTGGTCGTTATGGAGGGCATGAGATGAAGTGGGTGGGAGACGCGACGGGCGCGAAGTTGGTGGGACCTTGCTCAGACTCATTGGGACAGGAAATGGGAACGAAAGCACGTGAGAGGACCTCGTAACTGTCTCCACCTCGAGTCATCTTTTCTTGTCCCCCTGAAATCCCTTGCTTCACTTTGTGGCGCAGATTGGCGGGTCCCCTCTGGCCTCTGCCACTCCGTCCGTTACCAGATGATCTAACGTTGAGTTTGACTAATCCTTTTTTGGTCACCGTTTGTTTACGTTGGTTCATAGTATGATTTGCTGGTCTTTCTTATCAGGTTGGTTTGTTGAATCATTGGGACCTTTGCTTTGCCATCACCAACTACTAAGTTACAGAACAACCCATGATATATGGATATACATGTTTTTGTCCTAGGTACCAAGTCAGTCTCACAAGCTGATCTAGTTTAACATTTTGAGTTGGTATGAACTGATATACATTGTAACGACATACAAGAGAAAGGATTGCTGGCAGACAACTTTGGACTCGACATTGTGCAAATCTAAGTGCACAGTCGAAAAAGCAAAACCTCATACATTAGATAGAACATCTAGAAAAAGCAAGCCTCTCAAGCTCACCTCATCCACGACCCAATGAGTCTCCATTGATAGGTACGGAGTACCTAGGCTCGACTCGGAAACAACATTCATCCGGATCCGAAGTGTCCTTTGTTCTCTTCCCCGGGTTGGTAGGTAGGTAATTGTAAGGTAGTAGGTATGCCAAGAAGAAGCTTGGACCATCATTATCCCCCCCCAACCTCGCGCCTCAGCGGGCTCCCCATTCCCTTAGCAATTTCTACCTACACTATCAATTTTCCCATTGATTGATCCAGCCGTTCGTTGCCTTAACAGCGTCTAACCATCTACAGTCGCGTTGCCGCCTTGTAACCCATCCATCGTTCTTTGTCACGTCGACAATTGCTCTGCTTCCGTTGAATCCAGCATGAATAGTAAAAATTGGAATGACAGAGCTGACAAAGACTTGTTCTTTACTATTCTCTCTGTCAAAAACATTGGCGTCATAAGCGGCTCAGAATGGACCACCATTGGTAACCATATGAGAAGCCTGGGCTATGGCTTCACCAATGAAGGCTGCCGGTAAGTACCTACTTATACACCTTTCTTACTGTCATAATTGCCTATACTCAATGACTTTGCCATTCTTCATAACGTCATCTCATATCATTTGCTTATCACGATGTATAATTCGTGCTGGTGGTCGTTCGTTACGCGTCAAGTTGGCTTATACCTGAGTCGTCCGTTCACATCCACTTGTTTTGTTATCACACAACACAGACTCAACACACCTCCCTCATACACAAATAATCCTACTAAATAAACACTGTTCAACTTGTCAAATTACACAACACTAACATGTATCTAGACAACACTTTCAGGGGCTTCGCAGAGCTCAGAATAAGGCAGAGACAGCCGGGCCTAACGGCGATATTGTACGCAGGAATGATCCGACAATGAATCCCATCACCCGTCGTCCTGGTCCCGGAAGAGGTCGGCCTAGGAAACAGCCTCCTGTGCCTGTTCCAGGAGCTGGAGAAATCCCCACAGATCATCAGCCCATGCCAGTTGGTATCGTCCCTGGGCCCAACCCCGTGACTCCTTACCCGCATCCTCATCCCCAAGCAGTCCAATCTTATGGTGTTCCTCCTGGCAATCATCAAGCTGTCGCTCATCTACCTGCTCAACCTGCTGCACAGCCTGGCAGCATCTCTCCTGCGATTCCTACCCAACAAGTTCCTCCCCCCAGCAACGTACCTCATGTTCAGGGTCCGATAACTTACCCAAGTCCCCCTCGTGCCCCTGACGCTCCTCATGCGCCTGCTTCTCTTCATCCTCTTCAGCATGCACAATCCGGTCAACCTGACCAACAGTCTCAACCTGAGCAGCAACCTCCGCCTGGCCAACAGCTCCAGTCAGAGTTTCAACCTCAACCAGATCAACAGGACGAACCTGAACAGGCCTCGCAGCTAACTGCACAGCCTCAGCCTCAGCCTCAGCCAGAGCAGGAAAACTCAACTGAATACCAATCTCAGGAAGTTTCCCAGGAAGTACCTCGGGAGGCTCGTGAAGCAGCCGATGCGAGTGCTGCTTCTCAACATGCACCAGTTGAGCAGAACGACGAGGACTCTCAAGCTGCTTTAACCTCGGAGCCTCTGCAACATCCCAACGAGGATATTGATGCTGATGGTGACGCCGATGGTGACGCTGACGCTGACGCTGACGGCGAAGCGGATATCGATAATGATGAGCCCGCCGCTAAACGGCCACGGTTAAGTTCGCCTGAACCCCCCAAGGATACCGATATGGATGATGAAGCTGTATTGGCCTTGGCGGCTCATAATGGGTCGACAGACTTTGGTTCCGAGTAAGTATTTGCCAATATTTCCATGAATGATCTACCAACTAAATCCCTTCAGTTTTGCTACTTATGGAGAGGCATAGCCTCCGACTTTGCTTGTAGAATAACATTGATACCACGGGCATTGGCGTTAAAGACTAGGGATTTCTTAAATGGCCTTTGCATTTGCAAGGGATGGGATAGAAAATGAGCGAGCGAGGACTGTGTTTTTGCAGAAAGAACATTCTTGGTGTGTGTATAATATGAAAGAAAAGGGGCTGAGACTTGGTTAGCAGAAAAAAGAGCTGGAGTCTCTTTGAAGGTTGGGAGCGTACACCATTACTCTCGATCATGTCGAAAACTTAGTAGTAGATAGGACAGTAACAATGCCAAACCTGTAGAGTGTTTGTATTGTCACTGAGATCCGCAGTGCGAGGCAGTGCCTGAGACGCAGGTTTAGAGTCGCTTCGGTGATGCTCGTGCTGGAACAAATAATGGCCGCTAATTACAGAGTACCTAAGGTATCTCTGTGCTGTAAGCTTCATTGTTCTCTTTGGGGATATAAATTCCTCTCGCGATCGGCTCTATCCAGGTTTCTTCTCTTTCCACCACCATCATAACCTTTGATATCTGGACCCCAATCCATATCTTCAACTTCAATTCTACCAAATCAATCAACGACAAACAATCTTCAACATGCCTGGCAAAGCAAGCGACTGGGACAACGCCGACTTCCTCCTGGATCTTGTCGTTGGCCTCTACACTGGCGCCCAGGCCAGCGGAGGCTTGACTCCTCCGGTCAAGTCGTCCATTGAAGAGTATATCAAGGGGCGCGGATACACCACCTCTTTTGACGCTGTGCGGTAGGTGTTGATATATTTTACTTGTTCTCTTATTTTCGTTTCTGCTTTGATTTTGATATTTGAACTATATTGTTGCTGTGCTGCGCTTGAGCAAGGTCAGAGTGATTCACTTCGAGGTTATGCGACGCTATTCACATTTTTGTGCAAACATGGCCTCACTTTTCACTCCTCTGTTCTGAGCCTTGGGGTTGAGTGAATACAAATATCCTCACGGGGGAGATCATCTTCTATTGCTTCATCTGCTCGCCTCCTTAACTACTCAACAACACTGAGCAAACTGCATTCTTCTTCTTCTTCTTCTTCTTCTTCTTCTTCTTCTTCTTCTTCTTCTTCTTCAGCATCCTCAAAATCCCCCTTCTCTATCCTTTCCCTCGTCGTCGTCGCCGCCATGGCCAAGCGTCAAGTCATGCAATGGGATGCCAACGTCCACGAAGACATCCTCATCAGTCTCTTTCAACACATCAAGCCAAGTGCTGAAGACTGGAGCAACGTCATGGGTGATCTTCAGCAAAAGGGCTACACTTTCACTGAGGGTGCTCTTCGGTACGATTTCTGAGTCCGGCCTCTTTTTTCCGTTGCATATTGGTCACTGTTGTTTTCCCATCCCCCACTTTCAATTCATCTCAACTTCCCCTCCCTTCTAACCTCTTCATCCTCTCTCTCATTTCTTATTTCTCCTTCTCCCTCCCCACACTTCAGACAACTCTTCTCTGAAATCCTTCTCATCTCTTTCTGTCCCTTCATTCAACATCTGGCATCAGTAATTCTGTGCCCAAACAAACAAACAAACATATAAACCCTTTCCCTTTATAAAATCATCCATCATCACCGTCATGGCTCCCCGTGCTACTACTGCTGGTGCTGCTGGCAAGCCTGCTCGAGGCTGGGATGCTGCCTCACATGAGGACCTCCTCCTCGCTCTTCTCGAAGAGATCAAGCCGAACAAGGCTGACCTTACCAATGTCGCCGAGAAGATGCGCAGCAAAGGCTACTCCTACTCCTACGACGCGATCAAGTACTAGTTCTTCTGCCTTTTGCGCGCGCACAGTTTCAAAGGTCAGCAGCTAACATGTTTGTCTTTACAGCCAGCACGTCCAGAAGCTGCGCAAGAACCGCGACACCACCGCCATCCAGAACTCTGGTGGCTCCGAGAATGGCACTCCTCGCAAGCGTGCTTCTGGTACCAAGACGCCTGCCAAGCGTGCTCCCTCCAAGCGCAAGGCCACTAAGTCGACTTCCATCGTCGACGAGGACGAGGATCTTGAGGATGAGAAGATGCAGCTTAAGATGGAGACGGACGACATGGAGGAGGAACTCATGTCCCCCAAGGGCGCTAAGCGCACTAAGTACGTTAAAATTCACCGAGCCAACTTCCAGGTTCCTTACTGACTGTCCTATAGGTCCGAACCCGAGGACGAGGTCACCGTTGGTGAGATCTAGGTCCGAATTTCTTCTACCTTGTGAGTTGATGTCCAAATAATTCACATATGTTCTCAGCTAATAGAACAACAGGCTAGCTTCCACGGTCAAGGGGGTCGGACGTCAAGTCTTCGACAACTGATGTGCATTGGAGTGGTGATCAACAGGCGCAGGCCTATCGCAGAGAAATAGGGGTAAAACTAGGCTAGGATGTTTTCCATGTGCCTTGGATGTTACGATGAGAGATTTGCCATTTGATGGCGATATTACGAGCATGTCTCTGCGATGAATTGAAAGATACCACCCGTCCTTTCTTCTTTTTTGTGTAGTTTGTTGAAATATCGTGAAGTGTTGATGCGCATTGCCCGAGCATCTCATTGAAATCTACATTTTTACTGAGGAATCATCAAGGCCTCCTCTGGTCTTCATCCACAGTTCTACGAGTATTGGCCAAGTATATACAGTATATATCAAGTGCTTCTGATCAATGTCTGTCGAGCACTCTCCTTGTTTGATTCCGATTCAGGTGACCACTGCCGTCATGGGATGCTTAAAATTCGAACTCTACTGCTTATGCAATATTTTTAGATAGGCACGTAAGTCACAAAATACTCTAGATATATCAGTATTAGAGTGATCTTCACTGCGTGGTCGTGTTGGCGTCGTCGGTGACTGGGTTACTAGGCAGAGGAACCAAGCGCTTCCACCAGTTGCACGGCCACACGCAGCCGATATCCCCCAGAATATCTCTCTTTTCCCTTCACTGAGACTTTTCTACCCTGTGACTTTTTTCCATTCGCTCTTCAGAATCACTCTTTTTCTTCCATCTTTCCCCTCCACACTTTTCATCCTCTCTTCCTCGTCTTCTTACATACTCAACCCCAAAACAACATCCTTTACTCTGCCTACATCAAAACATCCTCTCATCTACCGTAATGCCTCCCTCTGAGAAGAAGTGGGATGCCAACGCCGAGCGTGACCTGTGCGTCGCAGTGATCATGGGTGCTCAGGACGGTGAGCGCATGCGCTTCAACTGGCCAAAGGTCCATGCCTCGATGGCAGCCCTTGGTTATTCCTTTACCAAGGACGCCATCTCGTAAGTCTCACCATGTTTTCTCATACTATTATCATATTGTCTTTTCCCTCAGGTCCTTGAGCCTTCCATCACGGCCAGATGCTTACCAGCAACAGTCAGCATTTCAGCAAGTCCATCATGCGCGACTTCAAGGGTCGGCATGGTGATACGCCCGCCAGCACCCCTACTGCTACACCCAAGAAGGCTGCCACTCGCCGCAAGCGATCGACTCCTTCTAAGAAGAAGATCGAGATGAGGGACGAGGAGGACGATGATGCAGAGACCATGGTCGGATCTCCTGTCCGTAAGAAGATGAAGCACAAGAAAGAGGACGAGGAAGAGGACTTGAAGACATTCGTTGGTATCCAGGGCAAGCCTGGGAGCAGGTATGTTCGACTGGTACGCAAGTCCCATTACAGATACTGATCTACTCATAGCCTTTCTACTGCTGAGAAGGAAGCCAAGTTTGAGAAGTGGCTTGCCAACGTTGACGGTGCTTAGATACTGCTGCAGTTCTATCATGAAAGCACAGTTATCTGAAGGGTTGAAAATATCGAGGCCTTAGATGCTATTGTTAGGGGGCGAGATAATAGGGGGAGATTTTCAGCCCCAGAGAACTGGATTGATAGCCCTCGCAACATGAAGCTCACTTTGATATCTCACCCGTGCACAGATAACCTCCGTGTGATACACTAGACACCTTCTACTTCTCATAGAGGCTTCTCAAAGAGGAATCCTCGTTACGACTTTCTGCTTAGCGATACTCACTGGTTGTCCGTTCATAGCCACTCTTTTCTTGGATACAATAGTTTCTTCAATAGTTTCCTGTTTGCGTAAATTCCGGAACGGAGGTCGATTCTTTCTGTACTCACCATCTAAAGGTTTTGGATGTTCGATCGATAAGTCGTCATGTATTTGTCCTACGCGAAGTCACTTCATCAAGGATTGCTACCCATTTTTCTGCGCGGCTTGATGAACTGTATTTAAGACTAATATTTGTCTATCAGTTCTAGGTTTGAATAAGCGTGGTCTCTGAGGTTCATTGTGTTGGTCTTGAGAACAGCAGTGAAATAGCCATACGCATGCAGATACCTTGGGGCTCATGATTCATGTATCAATATGGCATGTTCTGCGTGGTTTTTAGTGTCTCCGTTTCTCATACCGTATGCTTTTCGTTTCTCGTCGGTAAGTAAGTGCCAGAAGATAGTGACCAGAATGATTTTTTCAGTAAAAAGAAGAAAAAAGAGCAGCGAGGAATCATTTACCGCGAGTCAAACCTCTGGAGGTGTAAATTCATGACTCTAATCACACGAGACTTGAATCTTACACGTGTTTAAGTTTATTCATTCGTGTTGACATCAGTCACTCACATGGGCATCAATGAGAGACTGCCCAGTATAAGTCGAACCAAGCTTTAAATCACATTGCCTGCCACCCAAACGCCAGTCCAATGCATTGCATTGTCCTTGCTCATCGTGGCCGTCGACCGTCGAGTCGATTTCCTTCACTGGTACCCTTCTTCTCAAGGGCCTTGGTCTTGTCGTCTCCTTCTCCCTTTCTCTTAACGGCACCTCGAAGTGTCTGGCCTTGGCCAGCAAAGTGAGGCCTGTTGGCGTTCTCCTTCTCCTCTTCCTTATCCGCGTCCGTCTTGACTGGCTTGATCTCGTATCCGAAGAAAAGCTTGTTAGGTGGTAAACGGAGAGCTGCCGGAGCACCATCACGCCTCCTAGGCATTCCTGGAATCTCCACCGTGGGAACCGGAGTCGCTGGCTTGGGTGTTGGAGCCTTGCTGCCCTTCTTGGCAAGCTTTTGACCCTCTCCGAGAAAGTTTGTCACATCGCTTGTCACTGATGGAGCAATGGCGCTGTAGTTGATGGCTTGCGCCATGGTTCCTTGGTTGTGCAGCAGACCTCCAGCAGGGACACCACCTCGTGTGCTTCTTGGGGTGCTGGTTCCGCTTTGGCGCTCGGGTTCGACGTAACCGACTGGTGGCGCGAATTCTACTGACACGTCGGTCTCGATCATACTAACTCCCATCTTGTCCGTCTCGGGCTTGACGTCGAGAACGGCCACATCATAGACTTCATCGTTGTAGGCGAAATTGAAGACATCACCCTTGGTCAGGGTGGCAAAATTGCGGAAAGCCTTCTCCAGCACTGCCTTGGGATCACTAATCTCAAGGAAGTTGACGGATTGAGGCTGTAGCTTGACCATCTTGGCCAGCTCCAATGATGTGGTGCGGACCTGGATCATGTCGCCAACGTCCATGCCAAGAGTTTCCATCATCTAGTGAGTGTTAGCGACAAGACCTTTCAATAGTACAGCGTCTCCCCATACCCATTGAGGAATGTATGCTCGGCCTTCCTCCGCAATAAACTCCAGTACACCCGCATGGGAGTGTCTGCCTTTCTCTCCGTTAATCAACTCCATGAGCAAAGGCCACTGCACATGGAGCTTAGACACCTTGTCGAGAGCGGATGGTGGCAGAATTATCTTGGAACCGTAGTTAAGTTCTGGTCGTTCAGCTCCGGGGGCCATGACTAGAGGATAGCATCTGTAGTACTCGTCGAACCGTTGCACAATGGGTCGTCGTCCATGGCGGGCCATGTTGTAGAGGTGGTCGGGGTTAGCGGGATCAAACCCACCTCCGAAGCCCGAATACTGTGTATGTCTTAGCGAACTGAGTTGTAAGATGAGGCAGGATGGCTTACCATGGCGGCAATAGGTTGTTGGTACGCAGTCGATTTAGAGATCTCGTTGGTGCAGGACTTGAGGATAGAGGCGGTCAGGAAATAAATCGGCTGCCTTGAAGATATGTTCTGTTTTTTTAGGCTTCTGAGAAGAAACGTGCGCCTTAAGTAGTCGGAGGGAGGATGGTGGTGATTCACAGTTGCGAGGTTGAAATGTTTAGAGGATGAGCTTCCATTAATGTTCGTTGAAGGTCCGAAGCCACAAGTAACGTGGGGCGCGTGGAGGCTACAGAGGCAGCTCTTGATGACGCAGTTTGGTTTGTCAGGGACTCGGGCGGCAGGACACTACGGGGTAGGTAGGTACTAAGTCAGGGCGGTACAGTGCTATACCATTTATATAGGTAGCTTAATAAGGCACCTCACTTGTTTTTAAAGCATTTAATTCCAAACTCAAGAAAACTCTGATAAGTACTCTCAAACACATGTGATACTGGATTTGAAGCCGTAGTATTGCTATTACACGTACTGGCGATTACTTCTAAGACTGGTAATCAACAACCTAGGCACTGAATTTCCTCCAAAGTTCAGGTAGAGGTACCTGTCAACCAACATCAGCTTGGTGGAGCTGATTGCCCTAACCAGAATAGTGAGTTCTAGAGCCCATGCTTGAAAGTTTAAAACATACATATAAGCTCTATCAAGCTTTCTTGTTCATTTCACTTTGTGTGTCTATTTCAAGCAATCTTCACTTTGACTACTACCCTGCTAATCCTCATACTCTTGGCACTCAGGAAATCAATCAATAGCGAGTGGCCATGGCGTCACGATATTCCGCAGCGCGCCCGAAGCGCGACGGCGAGAACTTTGCGCGTACCCATCATAACGAAGACGGCGGCGATTCTAAGAGGGTCAGGTTTGACGTCCGAAATCCCTCCACGCTTGCGCCTGACGCTCGCGAAGAAGATGCTATCCTCGATGCCGACGTCATTGGTGTATCAGGAGCTACGAAACGTGGAGCTGTCAACCTCGATGGTTACGATAGTGATTCAGATAACGAAACCTTTAATGCACGCGCCGAGAACCGCAAGCGAGGCAAAGTCGACATTCTTGAGCAGCTCGACAATTACGACGCCTCCAATCCCGACCCTGTAGCTCCAGGTACTGCGGCCGGTGATGACGACGACGACGACGACATGTTTGCTGCGGACGATGCTGATGGGGAAAAGGAGATCCCCGAGGAGGGAGACTTCGATAAG